GCTGCCATTTTGGTCTTTTCTCTTCTGTATTTTTACTACTTCTGCAAAAGAATAATATGGTCATGTTCATAAATTAAAGGTAAAATCTTGATTCTGTATATACATCTTTTCAGAATCTGAGCCTCCATAGTTTCAGTAAAACCCATATATAAAGCAAGGCATATAAACTGATCTCTTCTTATTTTTGAATTAACATTTTTAATTTTTTAGTTGTTTAACCTGTAGTAAAGACAAAATATACTATTGGCCATATTCCTGATTTTTTTTGGGGAAAATATTCTTGACTGTTTACTTCTTTAACAATATGTTATCAAAATAGTTTTGTTTCGGCTTCAAATATTGTACATTCTTGAATCATATCAATCTTGTCAATTGGTTTTTTGTAATGAAAATGTCTGTATACATGGTTTTAAATTTTGAAAAGTATACCTCAATATAACAGCAGTCTAATGATACAAATAACTTGGATACATTTAGAGGTCAACATAGTTTTCAAATTTAGTCTTTTACAACAAATCAAGCTCTAAATTGTCCATAGTTTAAAAAATTTGTACAGGTTCCGCTGAACCCAGTGTCTCACCTACTTTTGCTGTTAGTCGCAGGCTCAACAAAAATGGGGAAATAATTATTAAAAATTTTCCTCTAGATACTATCTTTTGAATGTAAGAAGCTTCTGTTCAAGTTTGATAAGAATCCAGGATGGTTTATGAATCTAATAAATGTTTTAAAAACTTTAACTGCAGACTGTATGTAATGTTAACTGGAAGAAAAACTAAGTCCATTTATAAGTAATATAAGGAAGAACAGGAAATTTTTTTTTACAAAATTTCCTTCTAGATACTAGCTTTTGATCACAAACAAGCTTCTGTCCAAGTTTGGTACATATCCAGGATAGTTTAAGAAAGTTATTAAAATTTTGAAAACTTTAACCACAGAGTGAATGTAATGTTAACTGGCAGAAAAACTAAGTCCATTTATAAGTAAAATACGAATAAACAGGATTTTTTTTTGAACAAAATTTACTTTTGAATACTATCTTATAATCATAAACAAGCTTCTTTCCAAGTATGGTACAAATCCAGGATAGTTTAAGAAAGTTATTAAAATTTCAAAAACTTGAACCACAGAGCGAATGTAATGTTAACTGTCAGAAAAACTAAGTCCATTTATGAGTAAAATATGGATAAACAGGATTTTTATTTTTACAAAATTTACTTCTGGATACTATCTTATGATCATAAACAAGCTTCTGTCCAAGTTTGGTAGAAATCCAGGATAGTTTAAGAAAGTTATTAAAATTTGAAAAACTTTAACCACAGAGTGAATATTTGTGGACGCTGCCGATGACGGAATGTAGGATCGCTATGTCTTGCTTTTGCGACAAAAGTCGCATGCTCGACAAAAACTGTGACTCAATTAAACAGAAACTAACATAGAAATGCAATCAATGCCAAATTCTACAAATGACCTGGTTTCATTTGACTGGAAAGGCAAACGGTCAGTGAAACCTGTAATATATTAAACCATTCAGATATGAAAGACTTCTTAAAGCATCAATTATATATGGTGTTTCTAATACCACTAGCCCATTACTTACGGAATTGTGGGATGACTAAGATCATCTTCCCAATTGTTTATTGTGGCAGCTAAGTTAGCAAGTCTCCCTCTCCTCTGTCCTTCTACTTTAGGTGGTTCTTTTTCCTCTGTTAGGGTATTCTGTATAGACTTTCTAGGAACTGGTTTAGGATGTGAAGTGTCAGAATCTGTACCATCTGTATTTAAAATTATTCATCTCTTTAAAACACTTTTCTTTTTTAATTAGTTTTAATTTAGTATGCCTTTATTTCAAGCTTTTACCTTTATTTGGCTTGAGGCATTTTTAGAAAAATGTTTGTGTGCAACAATATGTTTTTTTTTTACTTTTTTTGTTTTTCACAACAGACGACCTATATCTTTTCAATGAATACAAAATCTATTTACCTTCCCATTATTTTTGTGGCATAAACATTATATCAGGAAACAAAGAAGTCTTTTCATCAGTGACTTCCACAAAAGGTCTTGGAATTAACTTTTTTTCAAAAGATTTTTTGTACTGGTCTTAAAGTGTCCCAAATTGTAGTGGAATTCAGAAATGGTGTTGCATTATGAGACTGTGAATGTTTTGGAGGTTTTGATTTTTCACATTATGACTGTTTAATAGAATGGTAGTTTGATTTCAAGAGGTTCATTTGATAGCTACATGTTGAGTGCTCACAAACATGCTTAACATACAGCCACATTTGTTGTGTGTCTGTACTAAGCCAGGAATCTGTAATTCAGTGGTAGTTGGCTGCGTCTGTCATAACTGTTATTTGCTAAAATCTAGTTGCTATCTTTCTTTTTCTTTTGAATTAATGTTATATTTCCCTTTGAAGAGATGCAAACTGTGTACAGGACTATTTCATACCTTCTGAAGACCAATCAGTTCTCTGTTGTGTCAAATGATGCATTCTAGATCTCACACTACTTATAGCCGGTGTGTCTGGCTTAATATTTATTTCATCTTCTCTAACACATTGTCTCTTGCCAGGTGATGCTGAAAAAGATATGGTTGCTGAATAATTGTGGAACTACAAATTTATAACACAATATTAATGTTTATTAATTCTTTTGCATATATTTAAAAGAAGGAAAAAGTATCATACAATTTAAATATTCATTTATCTACCTTCTCTTTTTCCTTTGTACATTACAAGATGATTCAGCACTTCACTACAAAACTTCATGACAGTTTAACAAAGTGAACTGAACTGACCACTACCATGAAATATAGTCAAGGTGATTCAGAATGTCACTACAAAATACTGTGACAGTTTAACAGTCTCATTGAACTGGTCACTACCATGGAATATATTGCATATCCTAAACCCAGTTTACTAATTTGTGTATGTCAAGATATGATATATAATAATGTATGTACATGATGTATTGAAATCTGCAAATAAGTTTCCAAAATAATAAGTTCTGTTTCTTGTCTGAGATACCTCTTTACTAACCTGACACATTTTATGTACATTTTTGGTTAGGCACCGTCAAAGCCAAGAACATTTCCGAATTTTCCAAATACATGTATCTTCAATTATTGGTTCAATTAAATGATTGAAGAAGAAAAAAAACTATTTTACCTATCAACCAACCCTAATATTTTTCAACTGGGAGACAGGAAACAAGTATATAGGTTTTTTTGTGTCTATGATATGCATGTACATGAATTAAAATCTGTAAATAACCAATACTTCTTGTATCAGATATATAAATCAAAATACCTTCTTTCATGAGAGTTTTGGTATCAGATTGTGGTAAATTATCTGTGGTGTTGTCCTGCAGGAATCTTTTTCGAGGCGTAACTTCAGGGGTTTTCCCCATTTTCTGATTTAACATCTCTCTTCTCTGTCGTGTTCTCTCTAGAAGTTGCTGAAAGTACAAATGCAGAGTAATGCAATCACTGTATCAAAATAATTTCATGCTGCTCTGCTTTGTTCAATATTTTGTGTTTTTAATCCAAATTTTGCAAGTACAATGTCTCTCATAACATTCCACTGATCAACGTAATTCAACCTGCCTCAGGGGCACTTTTCACAAAAAATTGAGTATTATGTCTCATAAAATTTTTCTGTGAAATGAGTCACAGGTCTACGAATGAAGCTGGTAATAAAAAAGTAAACACCACTTAAAAGTTACCTAGAACAAACCTAATGATGTTCATAAAACAATCACTCTTGATATGTGCCATCAAATGTTTTCTGTTGTGAAGCTTCAAAATTAAGGGAAATCTCTATTGTTCCATCAAAGATACCAATTCTGTTTTGTATTCGATGGGAGAGAAAGCACCTATTGACGGTGTTGGAGAGCTGTCTTGAGGCTCATGACTGACTTAGCTCACACTATGTCTTATTCCAGCTGATTCCAAAGGATTACAATTTACGAAGAACAAATTCTTAAAATCCTTTTTATTTCCTTCAATAATCCTTCTTGCTATTTGGTAATCTGTGACACTTCATGATCAACTATTGATGTCATACAACAATCATTTTTCTTTTGTAGCGCAAGACATTTTACTCTTGTGACAAATAGGATAAGATTTATTTTACTTAATAAAGTTGAATGTTGTTCTATAGGGATCAGATGCAAAAAAAAACAGGTGTCTGAATCCTAACAGAGAAATCATAAAGGCAATGTAAGGGGTGTGTCATGACTCATGACGGGTACAAGTCAAATCGGCACCTAAAGAAAAAGTCAAATCGGCACCTGGTTAAATCGGCATCCGGTCAAATCAGCACCTATTTATAGTCAAATCGGCATTTAGGTGGTCAAATCGGCATCCGATTAATATAAATAATTATTAATATGACTTGTATAAATGATCTTTCAATTTCTAATTATGTTTAACAAAATTTAGTTGGGATTTATTTTATTCATTAAATCGTTGAAAATCATCACATGTTAATTATTTAGCAGTTAGAATACATAAGTTAATTTGTTTGAAGTTTTCTCAACATTCAATGACTGATGTTTTGATTAGTTTTCTTTTCAATTAATTAAATAATAACTTTTATCAATTAAATGGAATAAGGTTTGACATCTCATTTATACGGACTAATCATGCACATATACATCCACATGCTATTATTTGTTTCTTCGTTTGAATTCAATTTTCAAAACAACGCCTTGTCTGATCAGCATTTTTCATTTGGTCAGTTGTGATTTTTTACAACTAACACAATACAAATTTCATTAATTTTCAGGTATCTAGTTTCTACTTACTTCTGTATATGGGTCCATTATTAATACAAATCCTGTTTATGTTCAAATATTTTCGGTAACATTAGCCAATTTTCCCATTCAAATTTGGCGGTACGAAATAACGTAAAATCTCGAGCATCTGCGAGAAAATTCAAATATTTCGATCTCAATCTACTTTGCGTTTCATATTTATCAAAATTGATCTTGAAAGTTGGTGTCACGTGATGATCATGTGACTGCAGAAGGTGTTAAAAAATCCTGAGCCATGTCACTGGGGAAAACAGTTGCCTTTGTCCTTGTTTTTGTCATCTGTTTACATGGTTCAAAAGCATCTAGATCGAGAAAATTCCTAAATTTCGGCGCGAATGGTGGAACCAACTGTGCCAGTAAGTTTCTTGACTTTTTATGATATACTATTGTCAATTTTATGATCAGATTAATTTACCAGAGCAGTTATCATCTGTCTAGACAGGTGTTACCTCTGACAGAGGACAAAGTCCTTTTTAGTATTTTTTTATTAACTTATAAAATAGACATTTTTTTAAACTTTTCAATAATGTCACCAATAATTTTACATAATACTTAGTATAAGAAAAAACACCTGTTACTGTATGCACACATTATATTAAAGTGGAAATACAACTATTTTGACTTTGTCACCTATTTAAGGAATTAAAAATTTTCTGAACATTTTTTAACATCACAATAGAATTATATGACGTTACAGAACAAAAGTGATTGTTTTGCAAAATGCAAGGATTTTTATTTCTTACAATATCCTGTATGAAATATTCCACACAGAATGTACACGGAATATAGTAGGAATATTGCATTGAATTCCTACCAGAAAAGAGTGATATTCTAGTCAGACAGTAGTAGGAATCCACACGGAAAATAGCCGAAATATTTAAATTAGCAGGAATTTCTTAGTAGGAATTAATATTGTATATTCCTACCAGGAATATTTAAATTAGCAGGAATAATTTGGCGGGAAAATAAAGTTCCTACTAGAAAACCTGGCAGGAATTTTTCAAAATTCCATATAGAAAAAAATATTTTCTAGTAGGAATCTAAAAATATACAAAATGTAAGTGTAATATATTCACAAATACACAACTGGGTCAATCATTTAAGTTTGAATCTCAACAACAAAAAACAAAGGAAATGCATGGAATATATTCATTTAAAAAAAATTGACTTTTAAAATTTTTGAGGAAGCTGTGATATATCCAAGCATATATGTAGATGGGCAAAAATGTTGATTCTAAGATGAAATTAAGGAGTTATAAAAAATTAATAAGTAAAATTATGCACTATTGTTGAATTAACTGATTACCAAATATATTGGCAAACAGATAAAAAAATTCATCTTAAAAGTATAAAATTTACCTTCAATCTACATGAGCCATATTTTCCAACTTTTGAATTTGTGAACTGGAACTTGTTTGCATTTATATAACACAGCAAAATTTGTGTCATTAGCAAACAAGAATCCAGTTTAAGATAATTAAAAAGATTCCATGTAGAAAGATTTTCTAGTAGGAGTAAATTAATTCTGGTAGGAATCTTGTAGTAGGAAAATGAATAATCTTATCATATTTTCTGTCCAAAATCCCACTTGAGATTTTCAAAACAGAAAAAAATCCATACAGACTTTTATAATTCCAGCTAGATGGTAGGATTTTGCAAGTGGAGAAAATAAAAAATCCAGTCCGAATTTTGTTCATTTTCCATGTCCGCCTACTTTCTATATAGAATCTTTGATTCTAGGTGGATTCCTACTACATTCCTACTAGTGTCTAGGTGGAATCCTACTACTTATTTCGTACGGGTTAAATCCTTAGCAAAAGTCATTTATACAGTCAATTGGAGCAAAAAGAACGTCAATCAGAGTAAAATCCTTGAACAGCAATTTGGTGTACACCCTATATATTTTTATTGCCATTTTGATTGAAACCTGAACATGCTGAAGGAACAACAGATTTCCTACTTCATAAATGAGTTATAATGATAAATATGCAGTACTGTAAAATCCTTGGCAAATGGAGCTCACAAATCTGTACAAATAAAGTATGAAACAATTTTGGATAAGATTTCCCTACTGAGGACTTTAACCCATATTTAACTTAATACAAAGCCTCAAATTTAAGCAACAGTCAGAGTTTTGTGCATTTTAACAGCAATGTCAAAAAATGATCCAAAATATTTGGATTGAGATCAACTGAGTGTAAATTAAACAGCCTTTACATTGTAATACAACAAAAAGCAAGTTTTTAAACCTTGTGGTAAAAGCATAGTTTACAGGTATGAATTATATTACACTTTGACAGCTTTAGATGATGCCAGAAGCTCTGTGTGATCATTTGTACGTTTAATTTACAAATATTGAGTGGACCTTGGTCAATCTAAGAAATAAGTTTTGTAAATCTTTGGATCATTGGGTGATACTAAAAATCAACTTGGGATGCCTGGAGTTTAAAGGCACCAAGAAAGAAAATAATAATGAAAATTATGTAGCTTTTAATATTTTATATTGCATTCTAAATTCTAAGTTTTGGTAAAGCCAATTTAGATTATTAAGAAGTTTCTCTGAGGGTAGTATATATTTTGGACAAACAAAACAGAAATGATAAATAATTGCTTCCTGGGAGCCTATTAAACTCCAGGCATCCCAAATTGCATTTGCAATGTATACTGTGCAAGGGTACAAATTTGCTAAATTTGCAAGGTTCAGGACTATTTAAATTTTCAAGTGAAAGATCCTTCTTAAGAAAGTCAGAGTATAAAGCAATAATGAAATGGACAGAGGTCTTATACTTTTATTACTGTAATAAAAAAAATAAAGGTTTGAAATGGCTTTAAGAAATGAAGGTCTTGGATCCACACTAATTTTAAAGATTCTAGTTATTGTTTTCTTTCTGAACATTTGTTAGAATAGGTCGTCTTGATTAATCTTAATTCTTTAATTAATTCTTAATATTAAAATTGAAAATATTCCATTTTTTTTCAGCATGTACTGTTATTTTTACATTTGGAGAACAACTAGCAACTATACACAATGAAACAGTAACGAAATCTTTAGAAAGGTTCTGCAATTATTTACCACCTGCAGTCGCAATACCATGTAAAGTATTTGTAGACTACATTGCATATGAGATTATACGTGTGTAAGTAAGATATATATTAATATTTTGTTCTTAGTGATCATATATATGATTTTAATTGCCCTGCAATTAGTGACAGGATCTAGAGCATTATTCATGAGAAAAAACTCATCAAAGATACCAGGCTTATAAACTAGTATGCCAGACATGGGCCTGGTCTACATAATACTCATCAATCAGTGGCACTTGAATCAAACTATTTAGAAGGTTACTGCGAACTTTTTATGATTAAATCAGTGTTTATATTGAACAGATTGAAAATATATTATTGATATTGAATAAATACAACATCACATGCAGTTTTTTAGTTAAATAGATATAGGAAGATGTGGTATGAGTGCCAATGAGACAACTCTCCATCCAAGTAACAATTTATAAAAGTAAACCATTATAGGTCAAGGTACGGCCTTTAACACGGAGCATTGGCTCATACCAAACAGCAAGCTATAAAGGGCCCCAAAAAATTACTATTGTAAAACCATTCAAACGGGAAAACCAACGGTCTAATCTATAGAGAAACGAGAAACACGTATGAACTACATAAACAGACGACAACTACTGTACATCAGATTCCTGACTTAGGACAGGTGCAAACATTTGCAGCGGGATTAAACGTTTTAATGGTACCAAACCTTCTCCCTTTTCTGAAACAATAGTATAACATCACAACATAGAAAGACACACTATAAGATATCAATTGGAAGGCTAAACTCAATCAAAATACGTAAATTAACACACATTGAACGAATAAATTTGATCTGTGATACCTGAATGCAAATACATAGTTAATAAAAATTATAAGGGATAAATAATTAAGGTCAACATGTATTTTCATCTTTAAGAAGATAATTTTTTTACTCAGGTAAATTAATCAATGAGTTGGTGGCCATGTTGAGAAAAGAGTGTATCTATTTAGTAGAATCATTCGATATTCATTTAAGATTATTACCTTGCTTTGTACACATAATTTGTCAGATTTTTTAGATGTGAAACTTTAAGGAGAATTCTGGCTATTTGTGTCTTTGACCCATTTTTTATAATTTATGGTCTGTTATATTTTTGAAAACATTTTATATTATCCGGAAGTTAATGACAATATAGATGTGCTGACTGCAGAAAAGCTTCAACAGTTATTTCATATACATGATATAATTTATTGATAATTCTATCAAATCAATCAAAGGATAACTACTTTAATCTTGGTCTAATTGTTTCAAGGTCAGAGGCTAATAAAATTCACACAAAGAGTTATGTGAAATCAATTTATTCTACAAAGATGTATTAATTATCACAATTACTCTATCTGAGTCAGTGACTTTAAAAAAAATTCTGTATCAGGCATTTGTAAGATGATATTAGAATTTTTTCAGAACAAAAATACACTTACTCTGCACTCTGTCCATGAATCCACATGGATCAACTTTTGACCATGAGTGTCTGTGTGTGACCATGATTTCTATTTTCTATATAAATTGTATCAGTTCTTGATTTTGTACCTAATGAAAACATTACTTACCTCTGTCCCTATTGCTAAATTCTGAAAACAAAATCATTTAGCATGTAGGTAATTGATAAACTCTAATTTTATTTTTAGATTACCAGCGAAATACAATCCAGATGAAGCCTGTCAAGGACTTGGTTTTTGCTTCACTGATACTGGGGAAGAACAGTGCCACCTGTTTCCAAAACCAAAAGTATGTTATTTCAATATGCCCATGGTAGACATGATGTATTATGTTATACCCTTGGCCATCTGTGCGCCTGTTCACACGTACAAAAGCTAAAGAATGCTAATTGATCATGTTTCATGAAACTTATATGGAATATTTCAATCTATGGAAAAAACTCCCTTTGGATTGAAACTGAAACTAGTTTGGCTGTAATAAATTTGCCCAAAATAAACATTCTTTATCTGGCACCTGTCTATTGTTGAAGACTGTAATATTGCCCTCTAGACGTTTTTGGTTATTTTGATTGTTAATATGCTCCTCCTCTTATTAACATATATACAACATCTTCCTAATTATTTGAATTTAAGAAAAGCAAGAAATGATGACATAGTTAAGATTTTAGTTTTAATTGTTTCAAATGATCAAATTATAAAAAAAAAAAGAAGTTAATTTTGTTTATTATGCCTACAAAGACTGACGTCACATAAGATAGTTGAGCTTTATTTATATAGATTATTTTTTAAATAGGTTAGCCGAGTATTCAATGCAGGAAGGAAGAGAGCAGCTCCTAACATATGTGAACTGCCTGGAATTAAAGAGATTTGTAAACTTATAGACAAGTAAGGAGTTTTTCATTTACCTTGTTCATGGCAAGTATCACAAAAAATGACTTGGAACAGATTTTTATACGACCGCAAAAAAATTTTTGTGGTCGTATATTGGTATGACGTTGGCGTCGTCGTCGTCGTCGTCGTCGTCGTCCGGCGTCGTCGTCCGAATACACATTAGTTTTCGCACTCTAACTTTAGTTTAAGTGAATGGATCTCAATGAAATTTTACCATAAGGTTCAATACCACAAAAGGAAGGTGGGGATTGATTTTGGGGGTTATGGTACTAACAGTTAAGGAATTAGGGGCCAAAAAGGGGCCAAAAATAAGCATTTTTTTAACTTCCAGACATAACTTGTGTGTAAGTATATGGATCTCTCTGACATTGTACCACAAGGTTCCATATCACAAAGGGAATGCTGGGATTGATTTTGGGGGTAATTGCCTCCAAATTTTAGGAATTAGGGGCCAAAAAGGGGCAAAAAACAAGCATTTTTCTAGTTTCATGACAATAACTTGTGTGTAAGTGTATGGATCTCTCTGACATTGTATCACAAGGTTCCATATCACAAAGGGAATACTGGGATTGATTTTTGGGGGTAATTTCCTCCAAATTTTGGGAATTAGGGGCCAAAAAGGGGCAAAAAACAAGCATTTTTCTAGTTTCAGGACAATAACTTGTTTGTAAGTGTATGGATCTTTATGAAATTGTACTGCAAGGTTCCATATCACAAAGGGAAAGCTGGGTTGGAGTTTGGGGGTAATTGCCCTAAACGTTTAGGAATTAGGGGCCAAAAAGGGACAAAAAAACAAGCATTTTTCTAGTTTCCAGACAATAACTTGTGTTCAAGTGAATGGATCTCTCTAAAATTGTACTGCAAGGTACCATACCACAAAGGGAAAGCTGGGATTGAGTGTGGGGGCGATGAATCATAAGGGGGTTCAAAAAATTTGGGGGGGGGGATTTTTTTTTCCTTTTTTTTCTTTAAAATTTTCCATTTTAAATTGGTTATTTTCTGATTTATATATAAAAGCAAATAATAATGATATGGTTTGAATAGCATACATGTGAACCTCCCGACAGGAGTACAATAATCCTGTTTTCAGGAGTCTCCTCCCGACCTCCGGTTGAAGAGGAAAATTATAATCCTGTGTATGAAATTTTTCATGAATGAAAAATTTCTGCCCAACATATCATCTCAGGCATCTGGTGTAACTCACATTACCTGAAGTTATATTTTACCTGTAAATCAATTAACATGCATAATTATATGGCTTCACTTGTCAGCTTGGGTGTCAAACATACTGGTAATCAATGATTTTTTACCTCAGGCTAACTGCCGTTGTGTAACAAAAACTGTGTATTTATTGGGTTACTTCCCTTGATTTATCCTGTTTTAAGTTACTTTCCTTTTAATAATGAAAATTTTTAAAAGAATATAAATAAAATATAAATTGAACAAATAATCATAAAAGGATGGTAAATAAATGATTTTAAATGTCTTAGGACAAATAAAAAAATAATAATTTGAAAATTATTTGAGGTTTCTATACTTCCTTTCAAGGCTTAAATTGAAATTTATATAATAACTATGACCCTTGTTTTACAGTTTGAATGATTTTCTGAGTATGCAAACAAAAGCTATTTGCAGATAGTTAAACAAATGTTCTGGTTGCAATAAATGTTTTATAGAATATGAAGTAAAAAATTTAAAGAACATACTGAAAAAAAAAAATGTTAGATTGAACATGTAAAATATAAAGATGGAGAAACTTTATAAGTACAAGGGTACTATAAACATAATAAATTGGATGGAAAGTTGAAGAAAACACACTTTAAAAGACCATTTTTACAGCACACGGTTACATTTACGACAAAATTTATGTCGATTAAAAACCTCCTGATCTGAGTCCTAATCTCCTGACCAAAATTTCCCAATCTCCTGATCTGAGTTTCACAGTCCATCACATGTATGAATAGGTAAATTAAAAAATTATAAGTTCTTAGACCACTTTCATTCTGTGTCAGAAACCTATGCTGTGTCAAATATTTAATTACAATCCAAATTCAGTGCTGTATCAAACTTGAATGTTGTGTCCATACTAGCCCCAACTGTTCAGGGTTTGACCTCTGCGGTCGTATCAAGCTGCGCCCCAGCGGAGCATTTTATTGCATATGAAGAGCAATTAACACAATTGGTGCAACAAGCAGGGAACTAAATACCTTTCATAAGCATCTTACTTTAATATGTCTGTTATACAGTAAGATTTTTGTTGTTTAATCTCTAGTGTTTCATGTTTCATTTTTCTGTCCTGCAAGTTGTGACATTTGCATGCCATACTATATCTTCTTATTTTTCTGTTACTTACTATGCAGTTTAGGCTTTGCTCACTTTGAAGGCTGTACGGTGTCCTATAGATGTTAATTAACTTCTTTGTCATTTGGTCTCTGGTGGAGAGTTGTCTCATTGGCAATCATACCACATCTTCTTATTTTTATATGTTCTCATTTAGAACCCCCACCCTCTAACCTAACGAAAAGTACAAAAAAGTTAGGAGATTTACTGATGTGGCAATCTAAAACGACAAGTCAAAAAAAAGGAAATAGCACAATGACCAAAAGGAAAAAGACAAATAACAGAGCACTAAATACAACACAGAAAATATAACATCAGAGCAATAGAAACCCAATGAAATATTGAGATTGGAGTCGAGTGCACCTGCACGAGCGAGGTTCGAACTCACAACCTCAGTGTTGACTGGCTAGTGATTACAGTAGTAACTACTTAGACCACTCGGCCACCGAGGCCCCCCCCCCCCCAAAAAAAAAAATTATGAGCGTATTCATGTGCTTCGGAAGGGTTGGCAGTTCCTTACTGACTTGTGTGCTGCCTGACAGCAAAGCTTATGAGACACTTAGGGTATTCTCTCATCTTGCCATCGATGTCCTTCAGGTCACACTTTATAAATACACAACTTCATAGAAACTGCCTAACAGAATTCAAACAAACTTGAACAGATTATTCTTCTGGACACAAAATTGTGCAGCTGCTATTTTAATGTTTGATCTGTGTGATTTTTGGAATTCCAAGTTTCAATACATGGACTTCAATCCATAGTCTATATGTCAACATAATTATTTAAATGTTACCTTAATTATTTCAGAATATTTGATGGTCATATGCCAGCAGTTGATTTAGATGGTGACAGATTTAGTGTCATGAAGGTATTTAAGGTTAAATGTGTGAAGTCATACAACATTAAACTGCTTTTTTCTAGATAGAAATATTTCTTCAAATAAAAAATGAAAATACAGAAAAGAAGAAAATTATTATGTACTTCAGACTTTTTATTTTCATAAGTTTCAAAATGTGTTCATTGTGAAAATCTTGAAAATGTTGCTTTTGCATCATGTACCCCTATGTCTTTTTTACACCTTTTAAGTACTGGTATTTCTCTTGTCTGCCCAAAGAGGTGTCAGGTGTTTGATTTAAAAAAGCAACTTTTATTTAGCTAAAAAAAGGTGTGAGTGAATAAGACAGCAACCCAACAACATAGAAAACATGATATCTAGTTATCTTCAATCTTATAGGCAATTTTAAATTCTTTTACAAAATTTTCAAGCTCTAAATTACCCCAAATATTCATTTCCTGTTTAGATCAGGTTGAAAGGTCAAAGCAAAGAACAATTCTTGTTAAAGGTTCATTATAATTTTTAATACTTTTTTTATAGACATTTAGAGGAACATCATGGAGAGGAAAAGACTGTGATGATGGAAGCAAAGATATACATCCTGGTTCCAGGTAAAGTGAACACTGAAATGTTAGTTATATACCCATCTGTCATGGAAAAACTTACCTAGTTAGCTGGAAAAGTGTTCCATGTATATTATATATAATGTGTTGTCTTCATGACTGTCTGATGTATTTTGTCATTTCCAATCAAAATTTCTCTGCAAACTTTAAGTGTGATGTGCAAATGTTTGTATGAAAAAAATGTCTACTGTGATAGCCTTGGCTATATATTTAAGATAATGAGATATCCAGAGTAAAAATAAAAAGAAAGAAGAAAAATAAAATTTACATATTCAATTCTTTTGTTGAATTAGGAAACCACATAACATCTTCATATTAAAGTAGTCGATTATGTTAAGTTTTCATGATTGTTATATAAACAGTGCTTAGAGAAACAGAGTCCATGACTGTATCTTGTGCTATACAATATGTATCCACCTTAATGGTAAATTTTAAATATTTAAATTGCTTGGCAAGCCTTGTGTCTCACTCAATGCAGTAGTAGAATGTTTAATCTCTCTAATTTTAGCCAGTTTATACTAATCCTGATCCATTGTCTATTTTTTTTAATCAAAAGGTGTTTACTTTTTCTCTGACCTTCATTTAACTAAAATCAGTTTTGTCTTGCAAATCTTTAGTTTTGCCTTTGTGACATCATTGAATAAAGATAAGCTAAAAAAAGCTTGACTTAGTTGTGCTGTTTTTGGCATCTATATAAAAATAAGGAGATGTGGTATGATTGCCAATGAGACAACTATCCACCAAAGTTCAAATGAAGTGGATGTAAGCAATTATAGGCAACAGTACGGCCTTCAACAATGAGAAAAACCCATACCGTATAGTCAGCTATAACTTAGGCCCTGACATGAAAAATATGAAACAATAGATCAGATTAAGGGGAACCACTAGTGGTAGGTCAATTATATTTGGTATGCTGTTGTATTAACATTGGTACATCTCATTTTCATGGAGATTATTTGGCCCAGTCCCCTCAGTCATGGTCAATTGACTTTTTAACTTTTGCCTAGTTCACATGTTAAAGTTTGTTATTAAAGTCAGTTTAAGGGGAACCACTAGTGGTAGGTTCATTTTATTTAGTATGCAAATGTATTAGCATTGACACATCTCACTCTCATGGATATTATTATGTCAGCAGTTTATTGGTATTTTTACAGGCCTCATTTCTCAGATGTAAACAAAGATACTAACTGTAATGGGATATATGTAAGTAAACATGGATTATTAGAATAAACTTACAAAAATATGACACAGGATAAGAAAATTGCATTTAGGATTATATAACCAGTCTTCACATAGTACACCAATCTGAAAACAAAACCAAAAATTTTTTTCCCACTATTTAAAGTTTGATTTTATTACTGGACCAAATAAGAATAGACTGCATGCATTTAAAAAAAAGACTTGAATGAAAAACACTCTAAACATGGGAGATAATGCATTCTACCAAAAAATTATGAACATGTTAATATTTCAACACGTAAAATATATCAAAATTGGATTTAGATTTGTTAATACCAAGTTTAGAAATAATGAATAAAACGCGGTTAAGTTTGAATAAAATTTTGTTGATGTTTAAAACCACTTTCAACACACTTTGCTATATAATAACAATTACAACCAGTTTTTATTGGTGGAGGAAGCTGGAGTACCCAGAGAGAACCAATGATCTTTGAAAAACTGGAAAACTGTCAATCCTAGTCGATTTAGATCAGAGTCAAGCACACCTGGCACAAATTCACAGCCACAGTGTTGACATTTCCTGTTTGAATAGCAGATAAGAATCCTGTTGAGTAATGAGAACATGATATTTGCAAGGAATATAATTTGTTTAGAACTTATAAAAAGTGGAAGCAGTATACTGTGTTTGTACTTAATTAAAACCAATATAAGTCACACAAAACTTAATTTTATGTTATTTGGATTTAGTACTTTACAATTGCATACCACTTTTTGAAAGATTTTACTTGTAATAGATAAATTCCCAACATTCTTCAGACAAAACTTTTGAATGTCATTTCATGCTATACATAATAGATAATATTACATATGGTGTAGTGTTCTTCTTTTTTCATTGGTAATTACAAACACGTGATTCAAAGAGTATTTAATTATATGGATGCTATGTTCTATTAGATATATATTGACGGTAAAAAAAACAATGTAAAATACACAGAAAGAACACTGAAGTCTATTTCCATAATACACTATTTATATATGTAATATTTATATTAATAAGGACTTTCGCTCAGTCAATAAGTTACATGTGGACCTGTTAGATTATATTGACTTCGTCCTCGGTCAATTCAATCTGAACAGGTCCATATATAGCTTATTGACCTCCTCAAAAGTCCATAATTGATAAATATACATATCAATTTGTTTTTTTGGTTTCTTTAACTGATGCAATTCCTTCAAATTCCATGTTTGACCAGCATTTCTATTGTTTTTGTTCAAATATCAGGGTGCTGATAGCTCAGGAAATGCATATGAAGACCAGTTATGTCTGAACAGTCAGCAAAGAGGAGCTGTTGTCTTAGGAGATTCAATCAGTGCTCACTTCCACTTGCCAAGAGAATGGTTTAACACAACAGAAATGTCATATGTAAGATACATTTATACAGTAATTGCTGAAATTCAAGAAATTGTTATGATTGGTGTTTTGATTTGAAATTCCAGATCTAGTATTTTTTTGTGATTGATTGATTGATTGTTGGTGATTAATGCCACTTTCAGCACACTTGGTTATATCATTGCAGCCAGTTTTTATTGGTAGAGGGAGCCAGAGTGCCCAGAGAGTACCACTTATATATTAGGAAGGAAAACTGACAATCCTAGATGAACACACTTTGCCCTGAGCCAGCAATGGCCTCAAAATTATGCCATCTATAGATGTTTGATTTTTGTAGAATTTCTTTTAATCTAGTTGACAAGTTCTCCAAAAATTTGATACAGTGATCTTTGAACTGTATATTTTTTTGGTTATACAATGTACAAGCCTGACCTTTTTTTGTAAAAAGATGGGGGAAATTAATGTTTTTCATTGCCTTTGTCATCAGTATGTATCATTATTTACTAAATAGAGCTTCGTAAATTTTTTTTTTAGGTTGTTTTTGAACCATTGTTGAATATTTTAGAAAATGAACTTGATTGGCCAGAACTATCATCTATGACTGGTAAGTAATTAAGCTGGGAAATATTAACTTTATTTTTCTTTGCAATCTATAATATTGGTGATTACCCTAATGTTGAAATAAGTTTGGGCTTACAAATGGAAAACTAAAATGTTTAACAGATAAATGTGCAATGGTTATCAATATCTTAAATAGTGACACTGTAAAAGAAAAAGATAATGTCATAATTCTATGTAATTTGTACCGGTAACAATTTGTTGACAAGATCGTACTAAGATCTTAACTATTTAAGCCATCTATTAAGAATTCGATCTTCTTTACAACTGCATCAAGGGTAATACAAAATTTTAACTCTCTGAAGTTTAATTATTTCCTTCGTCACGGTGGAGAAATGTCAAATTTCAATTTATGCAATGTAAAACACTAATGCATTATTATTTAAAGATGATACAAATGGTCAAGCATTGATGTCTTATTCTGGTGGTATAAGCATTGTTTTCTTTTTGTATGTTAATCCTCAATCTTGGTAACTTTTTTCACAACTGGTCACATTGGCAAAATCAGTTAAAGGCAAAAATGATTTCAACTAAACTTAATTTTAACCACTGATGAGCACAGAATAATCAGACCATATTGTGTATGCCAAAATAATGGAAAATAGTTGCATGATATATTAATTTCTTGAACTGAATACAGTTTTTATGTTGAAAGTTTTTAGCAATATGAAATCTTTATAGACATTTTTCTTGTTGTTTATTTGTTTTTTTGGATGTTTTCCAAATAAAATGGTAGGTGTTTTGTAACAGCTAACTAAATATTTTCAGCAGAATACACTAGTTTAAAAATTCCCTGACATATTATTTTTAAGTACATGAACTTACCTTAAAGCATCAGATAATTTCTTTTAAAGGATTTATACCAAACCCTTATCCATTGATTAACCATGGACCTACAGATTCTGTTTATATGAGACTGAAGGCAAGAAATAGATGTAACCATAGAGATTATCAAAACATTGCAGTCAATGGTTAGTTATAAGATATGTTTAGAACTGGGTTGCGTTCAATATCGTAGCGGCTACATAGGACTAAGTAGATTTATGACTATTGAATGTGTAGCTAACCTAGTTGCTACATAGATATCGATAGCAGCTAGGCTAGCTACTCGTTCAGTAGTCATAAATCTACGTAGCACTACGTAGCCGCTATGATATTGAATGCAACCCTGGTCTATACTTGCAGAATAGATTTATGCAATAAAAAGGTTGAGTAGATATTATGGTTTTATTGCATAAGTGAAAAATACGTTCAAATGTTAAGGCAGAGTCCTTTTTAGAGATGCAAATTTTACCATAAAATAAATGAAAAAAAAAAAATTGACAATCATAAGGTCAAATCAAACAATTATGGATAAGTTTCATTTGTTCTACACTTATAATTCATACTGTGTTCTAAGGAAATCCTTCATAGTTTTAAATAAACTTTCTTTTTCTGTACCAGGTGCTAGATCTGGTTCAATGGATGATATAATGTTAAGGTTTGTTATCCCTTGCTATGATAATACATGCAATGTTTCTCCCAGCTGTCAAAAATTGCACATCAACACTCAAAAGGGCACTTTGTAATACATTGACACACACAAAAAAAAATATGTACATGCATCTGTATATGACATTCTTAGTAAAACATGCATACATCTACAAAGAAAAACACATTGGTGGCCTTAATTCGTCTGTTGTCTGCTCTTTGGTTGGATTGTTTGTCTCTTTGACATATTCCCCATTTCCATTCTCAACTTGACATTTGAATATGCTATAGAAAGAGAATTATGCGAATGTAATAGCACCAAGCATTCATCTTTTGTGGGAGGCATGTTTTTTTTTCTCAAATAGAAATTTTTGTTATTTTTTTTAACAAATTTTCAATAAAAATACTTTCTTCTCTGAAACAAACTACTTGTTTATCAAGAAGTTTAGAATCAAACAAAACCCTGTTGACCCACAATAGATGAATAGTTGCTGCTTACACATAAAGGGTCTTGTTGGCAGAGTGGTCTAAATAATTAAAGTAGATTAAGTATCACTAGCCTGTCAACACTGAAGTTGTGAGTTCAAACCCCGCACGTGGCAGGTGCATTAGATTCCAATCTTAACTAACTCAGATTGTCAGTTTTTCTGCTGAAGGTCGGTAATTCTCTCCAGGAACTCCGGCTTCCATAAACCAATAAAAAACTGACAACCACAATATAGCCTAGTGAAAGTGACATTAATCACCAACACTCAATCAAAAATACAAAAAGAAGGAATATCCTAGACCTGAAATTTTTAAATGAAATCCCAATACCATAATAATTTCTTGAATCACATTAAACATCAACAATCAATCAATCTCAAGTATAAAATTATAAAAGAAATGTGTAATAAATCTTTATTTATTTATGTTTTTTTTTTTAGGCTTGAGCAATAGAAAACACACACAACCTTACTCAACTGCAATTGGCTTCAAACGTTAACCACAAATGTTGCAAATGACTTTTAGGGAGCTACCATTTGATTTTTATGGGGGGGGGGGGGGGGCTAGGATGAAAAATGTTGTCCTGCCTTTTTATTTTTCACTCTTTTCGGTCCTGCCTTTTTTTTTTTTAGTTTATCCTGCCTTTTTTTTTAACATAAATTATCATCCTGCCTTTTTTTTTGCCAAGTCGCTCATCCTGCCTTTTTTTTTTACTCAAAACTCCTGTCCTGCCTATTTTTTTCAAATTTCATCCTAGCCCCCCCCCCCATAAAAATCAAATGGTAGCTCCCTTAAAGCTTTATCATATAAATCACCATACTTTACCCTTATACACTGAACATTTCAGCACTGGACAAAACTGATAAAAACTGTTTCATTATATGTTCTCAATTTCTTTTCATTGAGATTGAGATTTGGAATGAGAATGCATGAATATTAAACATTAGTATAATTGAATACATTAATTGAAATAAAAGACTTAATTTTGACAACTTATTTAAAGTTTCAAATAAAATGCTTCTGTGCTAGTATGTAATGAATAGTCTATATATAACTATCTCATTGTAAAAGTCTTCATGAAGAAATTTACTCATAATGAGCAGAGTATATTGTATGTACAAAATATATTTGTCTTGTAGTATGTTCCGTAACCCAACAGCAGATTACCCAGTGATTCTATTCTATGCTTTGGTTGGCAATGATGTCTGTAATGGGTAAGTTTGTTTTTGATAAATTCTTTTTTTTCTTCAATTTTTGTTTTATTTGTAGCATATTTTGTTTACATTTTTTTGTATCTTTATTGGAACATGCCTTGAAGGTAGCCAATTGATATCTACATCATAGAAAACAGCATGGGAAATTCAATTTGCTATCTTCAAGGCATGTTCCAATAACGATACAAAAAATGTAAACAAAATATGCTACAAAAAAATAAGTAAAAAATAATACAACAAGATTTTGTATATTATGCATATCAATGATGTGGTAAGAGATGATAGGTGGCTCATTTGTTGTAAATTATGAAACATTCCAACATATTTGAAACAAGTATCTAAGAAAACTGTTCATATAGACACAAGGGGTAATATTGATCTACCAGTAAGGGTATGAAATCTGTACTAATCAATTTAAGCTTCCACAATGTTTAGTTTGAAGATCACTACAAATATCATTGGTTTATTCTTTGAAGTATGGTCCATTTTTATAATCTTGCCTGTGACTAAAGTCACAGTATTGGAGACATAGGGATTACTATCCAGGGCAGCAATGTAAACTATTTATATAATGCTTTATATTTCAGAAGGAAGAAGACCTGGATGCTTCATACCTTGTAGGCAGATAACTTATGTTACAAAGTTTCGGTCTGTCATATGTCCAGTGTCTTGACCTCATTTTCCTGGCTCAGCGACTGCTTGAAAAAAATTTTTAAGTTTTTTTGTGGAGTAATAGGATAACTATATTTGGTATATGGGGTCCTTGCAAAGTCTACATGTCAGACAGCTTTCACCTGACCTTGACTTCATTATTTGAACAGTGATCAAAGTTAAAGTTACATGATTAGGTCCTTTTCTCAGATACTATAAACAGTAAGTCAACTATAAATGTGGTGTGTGGGATGATTATAAGGGATACATGTCAGTCTGGCAGGTTTCATCTGACCTTCCCTCATTTCTATGGTTCATTGGTCAATGTTAAGCTTTTGTGTTTTGGTCAGTTTAACAAATTCTATAAGCAGCAGGTCAACTTTATTTGTGTATGAAATGATTGTAAGGTGCACATGTCTGTCTGGTAGGTACCATCTGACTTTGACCTAACTTTCATGGTTCATTAGTCAATGTTAAGTTTTTGTGTTTTGGTCTGTTTTCCAAATACTATAAGCAGAAACCATCTATATTTGGTGTATGGAATAATTGTAAGGTGAACTTGTCTGTCTGTCAGGATTTATCTGACCTTGACCTCATTGTCATGGATCTTTAAAATGTTAAGTTTATGTGATATTTGTAGTAAAAGCTTTATCTTTAAGACTTTCAATATAATCAATGGTCAGTAAAACAGGCTAGACATTTCAGCATGTGCACTCTTGTTTATTAGGAAATTTTTCCTTAATTCCATACTGTAAATTCAGATATAAATGCATCTCTTTATTATTGCAAACCCAGCCCCTTGACCTGGAAAAAATGTGAATCTAATTAATGAGATTGCCAAAAATTTTATGTAGAAAAATCACAACTGAATTCATGAATGCGGGTTTTTATTATTGCGAACCTAATACTGTCACATTTTTTTGCATTGAAAAAAAAACTTGGCAATAATTTCTGATTTCCAAAATTCCTTCTTAGAATACCTATTTCTCTGTCAAAAGAAATTAACATTATCCATAATTACCATTATAATTTGCATAACATAATTTACTTTCAGACATCCAGATACTATTGATCACATGACCAAACCCGATCAAATGAAGAACAACACAATGCAAACACTGAAATACTTGGTAATTTTTTCTTGATCTATTTCTTATGAGTTAGATTTGCATTTTATTGTCACATATAACAGCATGGAACAACTAACATTCGAAGAGTTTACCTTTATGATTACCTATATTGTATCTGCTATTAAACCAATTTTGATTTTTATTGAAACATGTTTGATATGACGTGCCAACAAAAGAGCAGTACTATATTAAGTTATAAGAAAGATCTTGCTATGTGTAAAATTCCAAATATCCAATTGCAACTCAGAAAATCAACCATTTTTAGCTTACCTGGCCCATAGGGCCAAGTGACCTTTTCTCATCACTTGGTGTCTGTCATCCTCGTTAACTTTCACAAAAATTATCTCCTCTGAAACAATTGTGCCAAATTTAACCAAACTTGGCCACAATCATCATTAGGGTATCAATTAAAATGAAGAGTCGGATGACACCCGCCTGCCAACCAACGTTGCCAACATGGCTAAAAATAAAACCTATGGGTAAAATGTAAGTTCTGTCTATTATCTTGAAATCGCTATAAATAGAGAAAACCTGAATAGACAGAAATGTTTATAATGATGAGATCTACCTATCGTCTGTTTACATCAAAACTGTCAGATGACTTCTTTTAGGAGTTATTGCCCTTTAATAATGATTTATATCAATTTTTTGCGTTTTTGAATAATAACTTAAATACTGTATCAGATAGAGAGAAACTTTAAATAGCAAAATTGATCAGCAAGACAAGATGTACAAATAAGGCAAATAATATCTTCAGTTCACTCCTTATTGGAGTTATTGCTCTTTAACAGGGGCGGATCCAGCCATTTATAAAAGAGGGGGGGGTTCCACCTATATGTCCCCATTCAAATGCATTGATCGTCAAAAAAAAGGGGGGGTTCCAATGCCTGAACCCCTTCCCCCCCCCTGGATCCGCCACTGTCTTTAATGATGATTTTTACCCGTTTTTAGTGTTATGTCTCTTATCAGCAATACAAGATCAACAAAAAATGGATTTTGGTCATGAATATTATTCTAGTCCACAATATTAGAGAGTGTCTATTGTTGAAGATGCACATACACCTAGGTGAGCAACAAATGCTCTCTAGAGCCACTATGTTATATGAAAATTGATATAACGTAAATCATGTTATTTTGCAGGATCAAACACTACCTAAGGGCAGTCATGTTTTCCTTACAGCACTTGCAGATGGCAGGGTATTGTATGACAGTCTGCACAGTAGAATCCATCCTATTGGTTCACTTAGAAATGATGTCACATATGCAAACTTCTACGATTATTTTAACTGTTTACAGGTACATGTGAATCAATCATTCCAATGTTTTATGTTAAGTCTTATTTCATTGTAAAGCGTCATGGCAACCTAGTATACACATCAAATTAACTCCTTTAAAATAATCTTTATAACTATAATATTTTTTATTAGTTTAAGTTGCTATTAATATGCAAGTTTTAATAAATTTGTGCATTTCTTTATATATAGATATGTATAATTTTTTCTTTTTGTGTGGTATTGTCAACTTTAGATGACCCAATAGCTATTAAATTTTATGCTATCTTGACACTCTTTTATATACATAATGTATATATAAAAACATTTATCTGGTATTGTGGTACCACTTCAATTACTGCTTAATAGTAAGATATTAAGTTTTAAAAAAAAAGTATTGTTGTATAAATTTATTTAATTCTCATTACATTTGTCATTAGACCTTTTTCTGTTCTGTAAATATTTACTGTAGGAAAATTTTAAATAAATTTTTCACAAAAGGTTTATAATATTTTGTATGTGCATTGCAGGTGTCCCCATGCACAGGATGGATGAATTCAAACGACACAATGAGAAATTTAACCACAGATGTACGGTATACAATATACTGTGAATTCAGTATCATTTGTGAGATACCAATTGTCGTGGTTTAAGTGGGTTTAGGTCAACCACAAATTTAAATATTCAACAAAGTACAAACTATAAGCTTGTGTATATACACATTTTGTCTCAACCACAAAAATGCAAGTTTTCCTCAATCCACAAAAATTGGTACCATGAAGAAATGATTTCACAGTATAAATTTTTGTTATTCAGTAATAGTTCATATCTTTGAAGTGTTCATTTACTGTACAAAATCAAATAAATTTAGTTTCAGCATTCACATTATACTATCATAATTACAAAAAGGCAAGACATATATCTGTGTCAACAGTTTATTATAAATGTTATTTATGACATGATCATTTAAAATGTCAACTTTTATTCTTATTATAAATGTGTCATTTTATTTTGTTTTCTGATTTTAGAGAGCCAATGAGTTGAATTCAATTTTACAACAGCTTTCAACTGAATATCAGTCCAAAAATTACAAGTTGTATTATGTAGATAACCCAATTAACCAAGGTAAGATTATCATTATAGAGTAACTCCGTTTTAAGTCTCAAAAATTGTCCTGTACTTTTTGTAACTCTTTGTTACCTAATGGTTGAAGCTAAACTTTGCCAGTTTTTGCCAGTTTTAAGTGCATTAGAATCTACTTTTAGAAGCAGCTAATTGTTAGCTCACCTGGCCCATAGGGCCAAGTGAGCTTTTTTCATCACTTGGCGTCCGTAGTCTGTCGTCCTTCGTTTGTTGTCCGTTGTCTGTCGTCCGTCGTCGTCCATTTTTCGTCGTCATCCTCCTCTGAAACTACTGCCCCTGAATTAGTAATTTTAAGGAAATTTTGCAGTTTTTGGTTATTATCATAAATATTATTATAAATAGAGATAAACTGTAAACATCAATAATGTTCAGCAAAGTAAGATCTACAAAAAAGTCAACATGACCAAAATGGTCAATTGACCCCTTTAGGAGTTATTGCCCTTTATAGTCTATTTTTAACAATTTTTCGTAAATTTTTGTAATCTTTTACAAAAATCTTCTCTTCTGAAACTACTCTGCCAAATTTAACCAAACTTGGCCACAATCATCTAGTTTAAAAAATGTGTCTGATGACCCCGCCTGCAAACCAAGATGGCCAACATGGCTAAAAATAGAACATAGGGGTAAAATGCAGTATTATGCTTATATCTCTGAAACTAAAGCATTTAGAGCAAATTTGACAATGGGGTAGAATGTTCATCCAGTTAAGATCTATCTATCTATCTGTCCTGAAATTTTCAGACGAATCAGACAAGCCGTTGTTGGGTTGCTGCCCCTGAATTCGTAATTTTAAGGAAATTTTGCAGTTTTTTGTTATTATCTTGAATATTACTATAGATAGAGATAAACTGTAAACAGCAATAATGTTCAACAAAGTAAGATCTACAAATAAGTCACTATGACCAATATGGTCAATTGACCCCATAAGGAGCTATTGCCTTTTAAAGTCAAATTTAACAATCATTCTTAAATTTTTGTAATCTTTACAAAAATCTTCTCACCTGAAACAATTGAGACAAATTTAACCAAACTTGGCCACAATCATCACTAGGGTATCTAGTTTAAAAATGTGTCTGATGACCCTGCCTGCCAACCAACATGTCAGACATGGCTTAAAATAGAACTTAGGGGGAAAATGCCTTTTTAGTCCCCTACGTCGAAGTTGAAGGGGACTTGAGGTTTGCACTCCGTCCGTCTGTCCGTCTGTCTGTCCTTCTGTCAGTCCGGCAAATCAGTTTTCCACACTTTTTTTCTTCATGCTTGAAGATATTGATTTGATATTTGGTATATTGTTTTATCATGACAAGTTACAAATCAAGTTCGAATTTTGTTCCGGTCTAAAATTTTGTGCAGAGGTATGGTCCTTGGACTTAGAAAATTCACTCAAATATTCAGTTTTCCGCACTTTTTTTCGCCATTCTTGAAGATATTGATTTATTAATTGGTACATTGTTTTATCATGACAAGTTACAGATCAAGTTTGAATTTTGTTCCAGTCTGATGATTTTGTGCAGAGTTATGGTCCTTGGACTTAAAAAATTCACTCAAATAATCAGTTTTCCGCACTTTTTTTCATCATGCTTGAAGATATTGATTTGATAATTGGTATATAGTTTAATCATGACAAGTTACAGACCAAGTTTGAATTTTGTTTCGTTTTGATGATTTTTTGCAGAGTTATGGACTTATGGTCCTTGGACTTAGAAAATTCACTTAAATTATCAGTTTTCTGCACTTTTTTTTCGTCATGCTTGAAGATATTGACTTGATATTTGTTATATAGTTTACACCATGACGACAAGTTATAGATCAAGTTAGCATTTTGTTCCAGTACAATTAATTTTTAACCCGTAGGGGACTATGTATTGCCATGCAATACTCTCAGAATGCTTGTTGACTTATATCTCTGAAACTAAAGCAAATGTATAACGGTTGCATTATTTCATGCATCAATTGTAAATAAAAAATATCAGGTGAGCGACACAGGCTCCTTGGAGCCTCTAGTTCCATTTACCACCAGAACTTCTCTGAATTAATCATAAATAGTATTTAAATTACCGTTACTAAATAGCATTTATCCCCCTCCCACTTCTCCCCTTTCCATCATGCTTTAGTGACTCAGGAATTATATCACAAATTTATCTTTATTTCTAGAACAGATTTAATTGTCATTTCAACATTCTCTTTATTCTCCATGTATATATCAAAGATTGTTGTTTTTACTACGTTTATAATTTGTTTTTTAGTTTTGAATGAGTATGAGAAAAATGGAGGACAAAAATGGGAATTGTTGGAGCCAGTTGATGGATTTCATTCAAATCAGGTACATGTTTACTCATCAGTTCAACAAACTTAATATTATAACAAAGTGAGTTGATTCTACCAGCAAGGTTACCATGCTTGTTATACTTTTGTACATATAAGGCTTAAATTAAAATATTGTTTGTTTGCAGTTTACCAACCGACCTTCGAAAATCTGCCCGACTGTGAAAATGTTATTGCTTTTAATTTGAAGAAATTATTTTTAATTCTTCCATTGAAGCGATCTGGAACATCGGGTCATTTCCGTGATTGATTTAAAGTCTAGGTCAATTACACATTTCAAGTTCGATTTTCTACCTTTCTTTCAAGCGTTCATGGAACCTTTTAATGATAAAGCACATGTCAATTGTTTACATGTATCTATGAAGTCATGGAGGAGTACTTTACTCTGTCGTTCTTCTGTCAATTTTAAGTCAAATAACAAACAAAAAAGTTTAATAGTAAACTGTTTATACAGATTCAGGCAGAGTTGCACATGAAATGATGTCTTCGATGATATCATTGATGATGATGAAGCGTATATTCATAAAACCGACACGATAACCGTTTCATTGGGTACATAATCTTTTTGAGGCTGACTTTATGGAACCAATATCAGTGGTTAAACAATTTGAAATCAGCGTGAAGTATGTCATATTTTCTATAAATCAGTGTGAAGACGACAAAGACGAAACTACTCCTCCATGACTTCATGGATACCTGAAAACATGCCTGTATGGGAGGAAGGGCGCATTTGAAATGTTAATGGATAGTCAATGCCAAATCAATAAGAAGCCACAAAAACTACACAAAGATGTAGAGCAAATAAATGGTTGGCTTGAATATAAATATACTCTCTCTGTATTATATCTATCTTTTATTGCAATGAGTATGCTCCTTTACGACTTTAGGATAAGGGGAGCTTCCTAACTCCTAACAATTATTTTTCTCTCTTACAATATTAGATATACTCAAACTGTGGCCTGTGTGAATTGAATTAAAACATGTCCTTTGGAGCTACATGTATGCTGCCAATATTTTGGTTTATGCAGTTAAAACATTTCAGTACAGACTATATGCTTTTAAAGAGGTGCTATGGATTTAAACCTGCAGTCTAAATTTGTTTGGTTTTGATTAAAGCATGGCATCAACATATCTTTCAAAATATAATCTTATTACATATAATTAAATATTGTTAAAAATATAAGAACAGTCAGATGTCTAATATTTTTTTTTAATTGCCTTTTTTTTCAATTGAGGAAGATTCAATGGTTGATTTTTATTTTATTTAAAACACTCGTACATTGTCTTATGAATTAATATCTACATTTGTCTGATGAAAATACTCTACTCATGAAAACATTCTAGTCAAGAGGCATATATATATTTCAGTGAATATATTTTTTAGAACAATTCTAGTCATTCCTTGTTTATAAGTGTTCTAGTATTTAATAATACCATATTTTTATGTCATAAATTGGATAATGACACTATGTTATAGTTTCAGTTTTGGTTAAAAAGTTTTTTATCTAAAAATGCCTGTTCATTTCATGTTGGTTTTCAATGAATGTTGTTTTAAATAGTTTTTTCTTCACAAGAAACTTGGTTTGTGTAACTGCTTGTTAAACTTTATTATTTTAAACTTTTTTTGGCTGATAAAATAAAATATTTTTCCTACCTGCCGACCCTTTAGTCTGAAGGCACAGTCGGAAAACTGCAAAAAAACATATTTGTAAGGTTGGCCTAATTTATTGCATGAACTTGGAACTGATAGTGACACTATTCATGAAATCTTTTATTTTTTTTATTAGAAATTTCGTAAAATTGCAAAAAAATGACATTTTTCTCTGTCAGTAATACTTTCAATTTGTAGTAGTATCACACTTACAAGCAATAACATGGTTATAGCACTAATGTTAGTGAAAATGAGTTAATTTTTAACATTGAAAAAAGGACAGAAAGGGGACAATGATTTGGTTTTCTAGTTCGGGGAGGAGGATTTTAGAAATGAATAACTTGTTCTGGTAAGAACTGAAAATAAATAACTTTGCGCAAGGTAGGATAACATTAATATTCTGCAATACAAATGCAGGAAACATATGTGTACACAAGTGAAAATAATTTCTTTTTGCGGCACAGCCACACAAAAAATAAGCATGTGTGGCAACAGAAAAAAATAAATGATCAATCTGAAAAAATCCTCCTGCCCCTTCTCCCCAGAATATCAAATGGCCATCCCCTAATCACCAATTTTTGTGCAATTACCAGTGGCGGATCTAGAAATTTTCATAAGTGGGGGCCCACTGACTGCCTAAGAGGGGGCCTGCTCGTCATGCTTCAGTGATTCCCTATATAATCAACCAAATTTTTCCCAAAAAAGGCTACAGGGCTGTATGTTACATGTGTAACCTATAAAGTTTATGTAGATAAAAAAATTGAAAAGAAATAAATTCATACAATTTTATGGATATCCAAACCTTCCGTAATTGGCAGTTTCAGGTTTCTACCCAGCATTATTTCTTCTTTGACAAGATAAATTATACAAACTAAACTCATGTACATATTTTTATATTTGAAATGATATTGTATTTTACAGATAGGCCAAGCTTTGACAGCCAAAGTGGTATGGGAGAACCTAGAAACCAATTATCCTGATGTGATAGGCCCTGAAAATCCTAACAACAGTAAAATAGAACAGATTTTTGGATCACAGGGTGGCTACTGATGTGAAAGAAGGACGTATTTGTAAAATTGACATTTTTATATGATGTAATTTATGGATCAGGAATAAGAAAAAAAGTTAATGCTATCTAAAATTAGAAAAAAATAATTAAATAAAAAAATTCTTTCAAAGATACTTGATATAATCTGCTGGGTTAATCTACATGAACTTACATGTCTTGTAATCAGTTTGAGCATAATAGAAGTACCATGCTAATTTGATGCAATAAAATTGTGCCAAATAAAATTTTAATTTGTTCATAAATATTTGTTCCCAAAACATTATTACACCACTCTAGGAGTGGGTGCTATATAGCATTCATCTTGGCAGTCCTTCTGTCCAACTGTCCTTATTTCTGTCCATATGTTCCCCCATCCATCAGTCTGTTCATTGCCAAGCAATTTTTTTCTATCACACGTTTCTAAGGTACTACTGAACAAACTGATGTTACCAGGTATATTTGGTCTGCAGCTTGGCAGTGATGAGTTGTAAGGTGTGAGCACATTTCCGATCTATAAGACACCTACTTCCTATTGGCTGGTACTTTGAATTTTTCTTTATGTTGAATGAATTTAAAAGTTTTCATAAAACATTTCTCTAGTACTACAGAACTACTTTATATTTGGTCAGGAGCTTGACAGTGATTATAGAATCTGTTAAATCCTGTGATCACTGATCTCAAACATGTTTAAGAACAAATATATTACAGGGCTAGGTGTCTTACCTGGCAAACATCACCTTACACCAAATGTCATTGCAATGAGAATTTCCAGGCCATCATGAAGTTCAACCAATTTTAAAAAAAATCTAACTTGATGTAATTGATTTTTGGCATAATTTGAACTCATCCTGAAAATGCATGAAACTTCTTTTAAACTGAGTTTTACTGTGTGTATTGCTATGTGTTTCTTTATTCTACATTGGCTACAGGTATAGGGGGAGGTTTGAGGTCTCACATAACATGTTTAACCCCGTCGCATTTTTGCGCCTGTCCCAAGTGGGTCTCATTGGGGTCTAAGCGTGACCCGGGATTGCCGATTTTTTGTAAGCGTGACACGTGAAAGTCAAATTATTGTGCCGTGAAATCAGGAAATGAAGTCTAGGGGGACACGGGAAATTACAAAAAAATGAGAATTGCTTACGTACATAGTGTAAGCGGGATACGGGAATCTGACGAAACAGTAAGCGGGATCAGGGATCAGAACTCCCCAATGAGACCCCCTCCCAAGTCAGGAGCCTTTGGCCTTTGTTAGTCTTGTATGTTTTTAAATTTTAGTTCATTTATATGATTTGGAGTTTAGGGTGACATCCATTTTCACTGAACTAGTACACAATTTTATTTAGGGGCCAGCTGAGGACCACCTCCGGGTGTGGGATTTTCTCGCTGTGTTGAAGACCCATTGGTGGCCTTCGGCTGTTGTGTGCTCTTTGGTCGGGTTGTTGTCTCTTTGACATATTCCCCATTTCCATTCTCAATTTTATGAAATATCTGGACAAGCTTTATAGTTAACAACAATAATCAATGTATAGTCCCTAAAGGACAGCATGCTGTCTTTAATAATACATAGTTGGTGTATATACAAGATGTGATCCTAAATTGCCTTGAATCTAGAAAAGAAACGAACAATTGAACAACCATCTCCTTTAAATCTAGATCAGTGGAAAAACAAGGTGTACATAAAGAAAATATAATAAAAACCAGTGCAAGTAGCAATTTAAAACTCTATAATACCATAAAATAGAAACAAAAAGGAATATCAAAACAATGATAAACAATAGCATTTAAAAAAAAATCTTGCACTTACTGAGAGCAAGCTCCAAGTACTAGCCTGCTGGTATGAAATCCTGTCATTCTAAACTCTAATACTGGTGGCTGTACAGCAGAGTAGATTCAATACAGCAAAGTGATACAGAGTACAGGAATAAGCAATCTAATGCAATATCACTGAAATATTTGTGTAGAATTTCAATGCAGAAAAAGAAGTAAGGAGACATTTAAACATGAATAAATGGAGATGCAGGGTAAACATCAATGAAACAGCAACCCAACAACACAAAAAACAAGTGTATATTTTTAATGCAATCTTTAATTTTAAAATCTGAAAAATAATTTTCATTAAAAATACAGAATCACACCTTCACAACAAGTGAGATATTATCTCAGGTACTGTTTGATAGAGGAAAACATTTATTTATACAGCTTGCTTTTGTATCTGCTTATATTGAAAAAGAATTGCAAAAGGGGTTAGCTTGAATCTTCATTGTAGCCATTACTCACTTTGGGAAAAAAGTTTCATGAAAGATTAAGGTTTCAAGTGGGATACCATCGATGGATGTTGACCAAGTCTTTCTTTTCTTTCACTCATTCTGTCAATTTTTGATATGGTTAGGTCTTGGTGGGAAATGTGATTTACATAATACACTACGTTCAAAAAATACTATTGAAAGTTCATACTCTGATTAAAAATCAACAAAGCTAGATTATACATCTGACCGGTAAGGTTGAACTGGTTTTTGCAGTCTGTAATTGATTGACAGATTTTTCTATTGTACTCCTTTGATATGAGCTAGTAAGAGCATTTTCCCATCAATTACTTCAATCAAATCTTAATGTTAGAACAAACAAAAATAAGGTTTCATGCACACCAAGGATGTATAACTAACATATAATCTAATATACGTCCTTGTGCACACGCACTGGTTATAACTAGACAATAAACTTCAATGGAGTTTTTAAACACAGTGTAAGAAAGAAAGAAGAAACTTGAAATCTAACAATATACTTCTGCCAAGTACATTGTTTGCTATGTTTTGTTTGTGTTTCACATTTCAAATACAGTCAGTTAGAATGGATAAAACAAAATAACCAAAATAAAATTAATTTCGAATAAAGTTTGGGTGTTTATTTTGTACATTCACACAGCAAGGTCCTAAACAATGCTCAATACACAGAGACAATTGTGTGAAAATATTAGACTTCAAAGTATAGTATGGTGAATAGCTTATCTTCTGATGTCCACCGTTCATTTGTTATTTAATCCACCAAAGGTTTGATCTTTTTGAATACATAGATTGCAAAAAATTCCAATCAAATTAAAATCATATCCGTCAGAGTGAGATTTCTGATTTGACTAGATAAGATTGCTAATATTTTTATGCCCCACCTACATGTTTTCTGGTGTGTGTGTATTTTTTCTGTATCAGGTTAAAGTTTTGCTTCAAAGTGGTTTACTATGAAGCTATGATCTCCTCAACTTGAAACAAATTTAGTACACATATAGATAAAAGGAGGTGCGGGTATACATCAATGAGACAGCAACCCAGCAACAAAAATATCCAAAAAACATCTACAAGGCAATATATACAGTCCGTCTGAAACAGTTACACATCAATACTCAGACACAGTTTGACATATAGGTGTTATACTTGGGAGAATATAAGCTTTTATACTTGGGAGAATATACAGTCTACAACAATAGACAGGTGTCTATACAAAATATCAATTTCTAAATCGACTCAAGTCTAGAAAAGATGTACATCAATTTAACAAAAACAATCAAAGATCTTCCATTAACATCTGTTACAAGAATAAAGTTAGTTAGAAATTGTAAAATTTGTTAATTTCTATATCAAAAGGAGTTGTTCGATAATTGTTTGGTTGAGATGCCATTTTGATTATGGTAAAGATACTTCAGAGTGTCAGCTGTCAGAATAAGTAGCTTTATCTGGTATTTGGACATTATGTTATATCATTCATCAGTATCATGTACTTCTTAGTTATCCCAATATTTACAAATAATGTACGTTACAAAAAGTTTCCAGGGGTGTTGTTGAAATTTGGAAATTATGATTTAAAGTTGTAGTTGAAATTTGTTAATGTGATTTAAAGCTAATATGTATTTAAAGGTTAATTTAATATATAACGGAAACACTTTTATTTCTGGGGTCCAAGGTTTTAATTCAGTGATATTCCCAACCCATAATGCACATTCCAAATATTAGTCTTTGAAAGTTATTTTTGAAGCATATAACCATATGGTAATAATGAAAGGAAGGGAAGTATAACATAATGCTATTTTTAAAAGAATTAAAGAACATAATTAATTTGTTTTAAGGGTAGGGAGGAGGGTAGATATTTAATTAAGTATTCATAAGGATCATAGGTCTGTTGTTAGTTAATGTGGCGCTTCCAGTATTTTGATATTTAATCGAAGTAACGAGGTTTGGAGATGCTTTTCAATCCAAATCTTATATATTGGGACATGGGAATCATTTATAATAGAACACTATTTGCGGGAAAGGAATTTGTTGATACATTTTGTCTTTTGTCCCTTTAGCACCTCGTTTGGAGATGCTTTTCAATCCAAATCTTATATATTGAGACATGGGAATCATTTATAATAGAACACAAATCTTTCATGTAAAGTTTACAACAATATTAAAAATCATGCTGGCTTGATACAAGAGAGGGTTGAGATCTCACAAAACATGTCTAACCCCGTCACATTTTTGCACCTATCCCAAGTCAGGAACCTCTGGCCTTTGTTAGTCTTGTATGTTTTTTTTAAATTTTGGTTCATTTATATGTTTCAGAGTTTAGTGTGGCGTCCATTTTCACTGAATTAGTATACATTATTGTTTAGGGGCCAGCTGAAGCATTCGGATTTTCTCGCTGTGTTGAAGACCCATTGGTGGCCTTGGGCTGTTTTCTGCTCTTTGGTTGGGTTGTTGTCTCTTTGATGCATTCCATGTTTCCATTCTCAATTTTATTTGTATTTTGAAATGGGTTTTAATTTGTATACAATATTTTCAAATAGATTGTTAAAATTTTTTGAAGGTGATATGATTTCAGAAAAAAACACCAAGCTACTTTTTGATTCATGTTTAATTTTTCTGTGACAATATTTTCTTAAAAAGTGAAGGATTAATATAGAAAACAAAATAAATATTAAAATCTTTTTGCTGGGACTATTACACTAATATATTACTATTTGTCCTAGATTTTTGATACTATTATCAGAGAATGACAGAGATGTATACAGTATATAAATATATGTCTCTGCTATGATATTTTTTGTATGTTTTGTATTTAAAAAAAATGTTGTTTTATATTTTGTATAGGGTCTGATTTTGTTTGGTTTTTTGGGGGGGGGTTTGTTCGTTTGTTTGTTGGGGTTTTTGTCATTCTCACAATATGTTGTTTTATAGCTGATTCATAGCTTCTTCAAAAAAAGTCCGCGAAACTA